TTGGTTTGGGAATAGCCTTCGCGTGGTCATTATAGAAACGCGTTAGTCTGTCTTGTCTGTGGGTAGCCCTGACTTCGTTTCTGTAGAATAGCACCTTGGAAGGCCCTCATTGTCTAGCCTCACGATGTGGCAACTGCATCGAACTTGTGCCTGCCTCAGCATGGCGCGAATGCTGAAGCAGACATTCCATTCAGGATCCCAGTGTCGTGACTGATTTCCTAATATGTTAACTTAAATTATTTTATAAAGCGAAACTAAAAATGATTAGGCATACTTGCCCGACCTTTATATTAATTCTCTTCTGCATTCTGTAAATCCTCAGTCCCGTGTTAAAAAGGGCGCATCGATGGTTTCGGTCGGATCGCAGAAGCCAACTTAACATCACGTTGGCTGTCGAGGTCCGATTCGCCATTTTCCTATCCAGCTTAATATTTTACGAAATTCGACTTCCAAGATTCACATGTGTATATTACCTAGAGATGAATTCCGCTGGCATTAATACGATATTTAATATAGTTATCATGTGGCACCGACTGCCGCATAACCAAAGTTTTCTGGGTGCAGAAGACATTTGGAACAGCCATTTGCGAGGTTGTTTAAACTGCGCTGTATGACATCTTCCGTTGCGAACATTATCGCACATTTATCCTCAGATATTGTGCCTGTATTGAATTTTTACAGCTGCATTAATGCGACTCTCGTTGAACAGTTTACGTCGGTCCGATTCTCCATGTCAAACTTAACCACTCTCAAGGCTAGGCTATCATCAGTACGGCGGATAAGACAAAGTGGAATGAGGTGAAAGTAATTACGCATCCCAATTTCGCCTTGTCTGTTACTGCGAGCGTTTCAGAGAGTGCCTGCTTGTAATGCAAGTTTGGCATAGATTTAAGCATAGCGCTTTACAACTACGCAAATCAAGCATCTGGGTTTATGGTTTTTTCCTCCGGACTACTGTAAATTCTATCAGATTCACATACCCCGGGATATAATGAAAACAAGTCGGCTGACTTGTCTAATTTAGTTCAGTTTGCACCCGAAAATCCCAGTCAAGCAATTACCGTCCACATCCCTCTGACCAGATACAACAATGATCTTTAAAGTACTATAAGTTCACAGAGGGTGGTAAACATTATTTCATATCTACGTTTTTGATAGTTCACTGTGAACGCATGAATTAATCGACAGATGTATTTTCATATATTAGTCATTTTTCGCGTTCATGTTCATCCCATATCAGCAAAACTTTTACTAGTGGTATCTGCTAAATAAAATTCAGGCTGACGTAAAATCACAAAATGAAGACCTATAAGATGGACCTGAAAATAGTTTCCCAGAATTCTGTGAAGCGATACTGAATGCTTGATCCTAAAGTCTCAAAGGATGAAATATTTGCAAAACTGCTTTTATAAAAAATGAAACATCTGAAAAACAACAAATGTTGGTTGCTGGAAGGAACAAACATCTGCCTTAATAGTAACCTACTGTCGCGTCTTATCAATTATATATAGGTGCTGTTCGTTCGTAGGCCGTCAAAAAGAGAGCAGTCCACAAACCATATCTATTTCAAAAGGTTGTGAAAGTGAGGGGACAGTCATGCACGAACTTGGACATGCTCTCGGGTTTTGGCATGAGCAGAGTCGACCAGACCGCGATGGTGAGTTCTTGCAATATATGAGTATTGCGCTGTTAGGTTTTATTGTCCACTTATAGTACCGATAACATGTTATGTGTTATTCTGTTTTTGGCTTTAATCTACGATCGCGTATTACCGCTAGTACTAAATAACTTCAAGAGATCCATTTTCAGAATAGCCGTCCTTCTTTTCGCCAAAGTATTTATCAAGCTGTAATTACATCAGTGGACACTGGAGAATTTAATTTGTGTAATTTCAAATGTCATTTCGACAGGAGATGCCGAACTGCGCGTCTTTATTTTCTTTGTTTTTCTGCTTAATAACAGCCTACGTGCAAATCTTTACTGACGACATCAAGTCCAAAAACCTGTTCAACTTTGACAAAAGGAGTCCGGACGAAATCGATTCCCTTGGCGAAACCTATGACTACGAATCGATAATGCACTACCACAGTGCTGCTTTCGCCAAACCTAATGTCAGTGAGACTATAAGACCTAGGGAATGCTGTCCACGTCCACAAATCGGTCAGCGAATAAAGCCAAGTGCGGGTGACGTGAGACAAATGAACAAACTCTACAATTGCCCCTGTAAGTTTCATAATGTTAGTCAAAGTTATTAGAGCCACCTGTCCACGAAACTTTATGTCCTTGTGATTAAGGTATGTTCGTCAAAATTGGTCGCTTCTTGTTTCTGAGGTTCAGTCTTCCTCTGCAGGTAGTTTTTAAAAAGTACTCTGTATACTAAATTTTAATATCTGAATAAGTGGACACAAAAATGCCTAAAACATCACCCCCCCGCATTGTAAGCGGACCACAAGTGCTGCGGGAAGTTGAGAATAAGATCAACTATTAACGTAGACCTAGCAGAACGCAAATGACTAAATTGTTTTAATTATCATCTTATTTTATCTTTATTTGTGACGTTTGTAACAACCATATATATCTTGTTGTTATTTGTTTTAACAGTTATGCCTTGTGGCGTGGCTGACTCGTCCACGCTTATTGAATTTCGGTTTCTAGCGGCATTTCATTAAATAACAAAAATTCCATGATAATAGATGAATTTGCAATCTGGAAATCATGAACTCGATAATAGGTTCTGAAATGCCTACTCAGAAACGCAATTTCTAAATTACAGTATTCATATGTTACATGACAATTAGTAATCTGTGACAGCATTTCCAACTGATTGTGGTATGTACATTTATGATCGATCTCATGAATGGTTAAACTACAGTGTGAAAGACTATTTCAGCAGTTGGAAAACTTAAGCAGAGATTTAGTATTGAGTACTTTGCAGCATAACGTCATAATATTTAAGGCGCGTTAGACGCTGTGTTTTATATTAACACCTTTTCGGCCACCTTCAATGACTGCTTCTATAGTGTGAACTTTTGTTTTAATTTTTGGTGTCCGAATAAACTGACCTTTATTTAATAGAAAGCCCGCATAAAATATTCATTTTGGCAAACTTTTGTTGTTCAGTCATGTCTTCTTTAAATTCCATATTATAAGAAAGGGTATCTTTCGTCTTCAAAGATGTTTTAGCCATCCTACCATAATTTTGAACTCGATCTGCCGTTGCAATGGCGTTTAGTGTTTTCAGTCTATTATCTGTAGACATTCCTTGCAAGTAAAAAACATTCATTTAATTAAGTAGTTACCATATCGGTCTCATAAAATTTTGCAACAGATGTGGACTATGTTAAATAACTCATGAGCAGCATTACTGAACAGAACAATATCATGCTTCTCGAGTGCACATTAAGCGGCCCCAAAAGCCCCTATAATTAAACATATTCTTAAAACTGAAAGATATTCATTCACTGAATATAAAATTAAAGAAGACATGAGCTGCTACTAACGTAGTTCAATAAGATTATTGTTGAATGTCTTCTAAAAATTATGTCTCACTTTATAAGAGCACTAAAAATCAAAGTAAAATGTGCAAACTGACTGAGTAATCATGTTTAATGAGCATGGTCATTGCAGGCTGCCAAAAAAGGGTCTAACATATCACGGCATGGTGCAGCAGGATAAGCTGTCTTTCAATCCCGCTTTAGTTATCCTCCCTGATGGAATACGCCTGTTAAAGTTTCGTTTGACGTTTCATGACATCGGTCGCTGGCTGTAAATTGCTTTATGCATGTTTAACTAGTGAGGATAATTCAATTACTATTTTCGTTGCAATAGCTATTATAAAGTGGCACCTTAGACATAATCCTGCACTGATTCAGATAGTAGGCGACACCAAAAGTTCCATTCTACATGAACATTTCTGATGACTAAAGAGCTTTTTCATCCCAGCATCGCCAATAGCGTTTTATATTGAATTGTTCAACGTTGTTATCGTAGTGCATGGTCCCAATTACGAATGTGACCTCCATATTGCTAAGCCAACCAGACTCGCACCGTTGTCCCAATTATTGTTTTAGCATGTGGGCAGACGTTTGTGGAGTTCGCCGGTAATTTTTCCTCCCCACAAACAAACCTCTTCAGTCCGAGTGCGGCCAACAGCGGTGAACAGGGTAAGCCGGTAGGAAGCGCCCGTTTTTTCAGAAGCCCGACTGGTCGACCCAACCTCAAACCCCAAAACACCGATCCTCTCTACTGCCGGTGGAGAATTTTAGGAGACAGTGGGGAACGTGTCTTACTTTTTATCACGCAAATGAACATGCTTCCTCCCGAAAATAGCCCGCAAAATGAAACACAAATGCCACAAAATACTCATGCCTGCAACAAGGAGTATCTCGAAGTCAGGGATGGATATTATTCTGGATCACGTCTGATTGGTAATTTGGAATAGTCTATTTCATCTGTTACTCTTCATATTTAATTGTTTCCTAAGCTGTTCTGCTCATTTTTACGTTTTGTTCCCAAGGTTACATAGTATCGGCGCTTTGCTTATTGGAGGTAACAGCGATGCTAGTTAGTTTCTTGAATGACTGCTTGATGGTTCATTTTAGGCAGCATCCCGGCTTTAGTTTTACCGCAGCTAATAAGAACTTGCATAGGACATTTATGTTTGCATTACGGGAAATTCACTAACGTATGCACCGTGCAGCCTCAGCGCTAGACAGTCGTGCTGCTACGAAAATTTTTGCCATGCTCAGTTCTTTCCAGTTTATTTGAGGGAAACGTAGGTGTCGAACCTTTGAATAATAACAAAATTTTCAAAATGGCAACCTCAAACACCTGCAGATTTTCTTTCGAAACCGAACAGATAAGCGCATTGTTCCAAGTGTCAAAAAACACTAACATTGCCAAATGCGCTTTAAATTAGTCAGTCTAGGCATAATTGTGCCGTACGATATTGGTAAAATCTTACTGCACTGTTGGATAAGAAGTGAATTCAGCATTCACATTTAATGGATTTGTGACAATAATCAAATAAAAATAAACGTCACTGAAATGCAGAATTCAACATTGATATGTGATATCCCTAACGGGATGTGTCACCTTAAATAAATTAATTTGACACCTATGGCTAGATTTTCTACTAAATGAGCAGAACAGAGAGTATTTTGGGCATGGTTTTCATAAAAAATAATTGCATTTTAAGGCCGTCATTTCATGAGTTAGTTGACCTACTGTGTATCTGAGACCATCACCAGTGAATTCTCTATCTTACCAAACTGTATGTGGACTGCTTATAACATAACGTCGGAGCAGGTGCCTAGTTAAACTATATTTTGCACTTGTATGGCGAGTTGGAAATTAAAACTATTTTGGGCTATTGAAATGACGTTCAGTTGCGTGCTGCAAACTAACTTTGCAATAGGGAGCTTTGTCCTCTCCTCCATCTTTCAGGTCGATACTGCGGAACAGATCTGCCACCAACACTGGTCACTCAGAGCCCAAGAATGCTGATTGAGTACATAAGGCCCGCAGGTCATTCTGGTTCTGGCTTTGCCGCCAACTACCGAAGTAAGCACATTGAATAAATTAATCTGCTTGTAAACGGTGATATAAAATGTTCGACATGAGGCAGAGGACAGCCGTAAATATACAGCTGAGTAGGATGTTTTACTGGAAATAATAGGGAAATTGCGGTTTATAATTGATTATGATGTCAAAACGGACACAGGCGGTACAGACGGAACTGCCTCACCAAAGCAACATCTATCAACCGAATTTATTCACACCCCTTAAAACTAAGTGCGGAGGTCGAATAATATTAGATCAATTTGAACAACACACGATAATTTGCCGCATTTGATGATAGAGGCAAGAAGGTAGGGAAGGGTAATTTATTCTGTACACGGTGCAAGTTGCCGTGAGCTAACAGTGCTGGTGAATCAGAAGAAAAAGACGTCGTGCGGAAGCGCGTGAGTACGAGAATGTCATGTTATCTGCACGATCTGACATTCAGTCACCGTTAAAACCGGTTTAATAATTGATTTGTCATCAACCGATTGGCGTGAAGCTAAATGCAAATAAGCACAATTTGCTGTTTGACAACTGTGTTGACACATTTGCGGAAGACTCGGCGGTTTCAGTGGAGTTCGAGCCCAGGAAAACCTGTAACGTCAGTGCTCTCAGCGATTAAGCGTTGTGACTCCGAATGGAAACCGTGCGTATAGTTTAGTGTAAGCCGCCAAAGTCACCGCCTTTTTGTCCCATTTGTGTCGGAAAAATTATAAAAATTGACAAGAAGCATTAGTCATGGGGAAAACGATGTACTGAATTGTCGGAAAAATTGAAAATTAAGGGTGGACATTATGCTAACGTGATTTTTGCATTTATTTCATGGTCTTCTCGATACTGGAAACCGCTTTCCGGTAGGCGACCACGAGTACTACTGTAAGATTTGGGAATAAGCAAAGGCTAAAGCCAGTCAATAAATATCACCGTACCGATGGAGTTCTAATCCGCATGATTTTCAGTTTGAGAACTAGCCGAAAAAATCAGGAAGTCAGAAGTGGGAATACAATGGAAATCAAAAAAATCATGCGATAACGACGATTACTGCTCTAAGAACTAAAGTATCTTCGTTTTGGCATAAATCGCACATACTTCTTTCACTTTAAAATACAATCAGTGTCAGATCTCACGAACAGTTAGTTGAAATAATTAAATGCTTTTTAAATAAGGGAAAATCGCTTAGGTAGACTTATCATCTAACTTTTTTCGTAGGCAACATAACATTAAGATATATCAGTAGCGTTTGGTTACGGACCTCTGAATGAACGTTCTTCATGCCGCTTGCTAAAACCGCAAATATTAAAAACTGGTTACATATCAATTGCAAACTATTACAAACTTTTTTTAATCCAAATTTTACATTTCCTTCAAGCATAAAGTTGAAAGAAAGCGTCATTTCTTTGATGAATTAATATTTTACGCATGGTTTCTATGAAATATAATTGACTCTTTAAGGGTATCCCAAATCAATGAGAAAAATGCATGTTACATATGGGGTCATTTTTTATAATATGTAGTTTTTAAATGCAACCGATAGGAAATTCGATCAAAAGCCGAAATTGTGTTGTTCTTGAATTATTATATAATTTTCTGCACGATGATGAGTTTCATGACCATTTCTACTTCATCTCTTCGAAAAAAATGCCTGTCGGAATTTCGGATGACATTTCATCATTTAGCCCAACTACTGTGATTTTACTTATATCGTTGCATCATTAGCAAGGGTTGGCACCTTAAAATGAGCAGTGTGAGAGTGTGATGAACTAATTTCAATGTACGACATGTGCCATTTGGGCTGCGAGCACATGACAAATGTCAAAGAAGGCATTGTGGCTGCACGTCTAGGTGCAGGCTGACTATTTTTACAACCGTACTTAATTCATTTTGCCGAATCGAAAACGTATTTTGGGACTTCGGTTGACATTTAATGAGTTAGCCCACCTATTGCAAGTCCACTTTGCTATGGGATTTACTGCGAATTTCAGGATCAAACTTTCGGGTTGCACATTAGATGTTTTTTAAATGATTTATTTGAAGACGTGGACACGTGGATTTGTACAGTCTTTAAATTAAATCTGTCAGTATTAGTCAGTATATTTGGAGTAGACGACAGAAGCTCCTACAATCCCATTTAAGCGGTGCAGGTAGCCATAAAACGTTGTTTACATGCAAAGGCCGTACAGTTTATGTAAGTGTTAAGAATGCATGAAATAATGATTGAGCATACATATTAAAAAGGTGAGCCGTTTCTAAAGAACAGCGAAAAACACGCTGAATGCATTCGCTCTATACATCACTGTACATATACAGATCTGCTGAAATCGTGTAAGTAGTCCGATTAGTTGCTGCAGTTACAGGTATTGCTTAAAGTATACAAACTGCATCCTTTCCAGTTAAGAAAGAGCATACAATCCTCCATCGATATTGGGGGCCATATGCATCTTAGCGTTAACAGCTGCAAAGGGCTCGGCTCGTCAGCGGGTCCCCTAGCATTCCCAGTGTGCTTCCTGGTAGATATTCCAGCTTAAAAATTGTCGCAAGATTCGCTAGCAAAATTTTTTAACAGAAAGCACACATGGAATGCTAGGGAACACAACGATAAACCGAACCTTTCTCAGGTATTCCCATGAAGTTGCGGAATCTGAGGAAACACGCGTGTCGGGGCTTTTGATTGATACTTATGCTGCCAGTACGATATGTTGTAACTATCACCCTGAGGCGTGCTTCTATAATAATTCACTAACCACGGGAAGCTGGCTTCCGAAGGAACTCGTGCTGCTAGTACGATATCTTGTAACCCCCAAAATATATTATTAACTGCTTGTGTGCAGTTAATGAATGTTATGCGGTTATCCAGCTGTGCTAGATAGACTTTAACTCTAATATTAATACACCAAAATTCAGTCTGTGTCTGTAGACATTAGTATTAACTGATTTACTCTAACTTGGCAGTTAACCTCTGAGGAAATTAAAAAGCAACTACATCACTGGATTCGAAGCATTAATAAATTCCCATCGCTTGCAAATGCGCTTAAGACAGGTGGCCGAAAATTGGGGCATCCGACAGCAAATATCTTAATAGGCCTGAGATTATATGGGAATCATGCCGGACGATAATAAATTCTACGACCTCATTTAAGAACCCACCCTAATTAAAACTGCACTTCAGAATTTTACTTAATATTTTAAGTGATCGGTCACTGGCTCAAGAGTAGGTGGACTAACTCATAAAATGTCAACCGAAATTTTAAAATCGTTTCCTTTTCGAAAAGAGTAATTGATTAGGGTTGTAAAACTAGTTATCGTGAGGCGTGCTTCCATAAAAATTCACTTACAAACAGGATGATGGCTTCCAAACGAACTTCTTTCCGTCTGCATGCAAAATCTATACTCTGTAAAATGACTACTTATCTGACATGTCTTTTCCTCATAGATGTTTGATTTCGATAAATATTCAATTATATTTCGTGGAAAGCATGAATAAGCATATTAATTCTTTAACACATTCAGTAGAAAATTTACGTGTTCTTCAAATTTTATACTCAAAGGAAGGGTTTAGCTCGATTTCCACAAACATTTCTAATTCCTGAATGATTTTGAACCTGACCTGTTCTTACACTTACATTAAGGGTTTCTACACCTAAAACCGTATATTTTTTATCGTGCGTAAAAGCATACATATCTGAATATAATAATGACATAATCGGAAGTAGGATACTTTTACATTGGGTAGGACTTTTGAATGCGCCATACAGCAACATTTTGTTGCACTTTTCATAAAGAACACTGCCGACGTTCCCTGATGCAAAGCCACAGCATACGATGTATGAACTTTCTAACATTCCAAGAAATTGTTATCATGCTACTTTAGTAAATGACATCCAATCCATTTGGATGGACCGAATACCAAATAATTTAACAATTTCAGGAATGTTAAAGGGGCGCTCACCGA